TCCTGGGGTCTTGGCTGAGTTCTTTGGCTCCTGTTAGGTGGGAGGTTGTTTGAAGAGACTATGGATGGGGTGAAGGTCCGGGCTCAGGGGCCTCGTGGAGGGTCTGATTGTGCCCTGGACCATGAGCTCCGTTCGGCACAGAATTATAGCTGTAATGGAGCAGCGGCATCCTGGCAGCTGTGCACGGCAAGCGCACATCTTTGGTGAGTGACTGGTCGCTCTGAGCTGGGCTCCCTCTCCCGTGAGAAGTGGATACTGATGTTACATATGGGTCAGGAGCTCTGAACAAGGTCACCTATGTGAGTTACAAGCGCTGTGCTGACCTGTGGCTCATGTTACCATTCCAGGAGCGCCTGAGCTGAGGGCGCTGGAAAATAGCACACCCTGGCCTCATTGCCTGCCAAGGAGGTGGCAGCCTGCTTAGGGAAGCACTAGAATATGACAAGCAAAAGGGCTGCCCTGGCCAGAGGATGAGGGACCAAGCGTACCTTAGGGTGACAGCTTCAGGAGCACACTGGCCTCAGTAGGAGCCAGGGTCCTGGGTGCCCACCCTGATTCCGGACGATGGCTTCCTGTAGGTCCGTCCACCGTCCACAGGTTAGCCAGCCTTCCCACGATGTTCCTTTGACAGAAACAGGTAGAGGAACATGCTTCTACCGCAGGCTTAGCTACTGGGCTCAGTCTCAGGGAGGCTACCTGCTTTCATCCACACACAGAGGCCTCTCGGGCCTGGGCTGAGCTGCGGTCACAGGTGGGGCTGAGCTGAACTAGAACAGGCCGGTCTGGCTCAGCCGCAGAGCTGAGTCGTCCTCCTGGGGTGGGGGTGGTGGCCACTTGGCTGCCTTCCCAGCTAGGTGCAAGGCAGTATGGGTGGCAGAGGGGTGCAAGGGGCAGGTTCCTAATGTGCCCCTCAGGATTGCTCCCTGGCCTCAGTGTCCACCCTACAGGCCCTGCTGTGGGGGCCTAAAGAAAGGGCAGGGATGCTAGTGACCCGTGAAGGCCAAATATGATCTGAGCCTGCAGAAACACAGAGGAGGCCAGGGGAGGGGCACGGGGATGGGCAGAGGGCGGCTTTTTAAGTTCCCGTTGTGGAGGGGTTCAGCGAGTGTGGCTGGACCCAAGATCCTGCAAGACCTGAGGAGAGAGATCCCCGCTGAGTGCAAGGCCCTCAGGAGCCCCTGGGGAGGGAGAGAGGCCCCCCAACATCAGTAAGAATTGGGATGAGGCTGCAGGCACAGGAGCTGAATGTGATACAGCTGCAGATGCTAGTTCTCTCCCAGTGCCCTTAGGGAAAAGCCCTGCTGCGTGCCTCGAGCCAGACAGCCCCATGTGGTGTCTAACCCATGGCCTGCATGCCGCCTCGAGTGCTGGGAGACTGCCATCATGCGGTGCCCAGCGCGGCCCCAGTGGAAACCTCTGCCATCGTGGACCTGTTTGTTCAGAACTGTGGAATGAAATCTTGGTCCCCAGGCACGTCGGATGCCTCTGCCTGGACAAAAGACACCTGGGAAGCCCTGGCACCTGGCTGGCATGGCAGGGTTATGTGCAGGCCTGGAGCTCTGTGCTCTGGCTTTCTCCATCCAGCCCGAGTGGTCCTGGGGGCAGTGCCTTCCCGGGGGGGACAGAGACTCCTGGCTCACAGCGGCCTGCTCTGGCGCCAGACACCACCAGCATGCGTGGTGTGGTTGGGGACCCTTCCTGCTGTGGAGCTGGTCCTGGCTCCCGGCCGGGCAGGGTGGTCTCGCTGTTCTGCAAAGCCGCCTGGAAGGAGCACTTGGCTTGTTGAGCTGGGCTTGCTGCAGCCCGAGAGCAGCCAGGGTGCTGTCTGCCTGTGTCCCGAGCTGCACATGGCCCTCTGAAATGCTTGTGCCTCAGGTGAGGGGTGCAGGATGCCCGGCAAGCAACACGTGGCCAAGAGCCACTTGCACTGGACTCCCATCCCTGTCTCAGTTCACACCTGGGTGCTCTCCCTCCAGGGCCTCTGTACTGAGCTACATCCCCAGCCCTTTTTACATTTCATTTCAAGACGTCATCTCACTAAGTCGCTGAGTTGCCCGGGGTGGGTTAGAACTTGCCATCCTCCTGCCTCAGCCTCCCGGAGCACTGGGATCACAGGTGTGCACCCTGCACTTGGCTTGGGATCCACCTTCTGGCGGCTCTGTGGCCTTTGGAAAGCTTCTGAGCCTTCCCGAGTATCGTTTCCCTGAGCTGTGCAATGCATGGCTCAAGGGGAGGGCTGGGTGGTGTAGCTAAAGCTTCCACAGCCCCGGCTCAGCTGCCAGCGCACACCAGGGCTGCTGTAAGACTTGGAAGCATTGAGATTTTACAGGTGTGCCCTGGAGTTCAAAGCTTCGATTTAGGGACTTTCAAGGGCCACTTCTCTGGGGAGCGGGGAGTGTCGCTGCAGGGTGGAGTTGCTGTGCTCAGGGCTGTGCCAGGGACTCATTTGTGTCTGTGTCAGCAGTCTGTCTGCAGCCTCTGGGGCCTGAGCACTGTTACTCTGCAGGGCACAGGAGGCTTGAGCCCTGCAGGGACTTGCCTGCCGCTACCTCAGAGCCAGGAAGCCCGAGCGCCGCCCTTCCATTCCCTGCAGGAGATGCGTGGGCCCGCGGGCAGGTGGAGTGCTCTGCAGCCCCGGCCTCTCCTTCCCCATGTCTGGCTGCCTGACTCTGCCTGTTTCCGGTCCTGGAGCTTGTGGAGCCTCTCTCATCCCAGCAGAAGTGTGGTCTGAGCAGAAGCGCAGTTTGGGGAATGTGGGTATTGAGTCACTGGGTTCTCTCTCAGCCCACTCTAGAGTCCTGCTCCTTGGGGACGGGCACCACCACTTCCTGCAATTCCTGGGTCTCCCCGGGGGCATGCATGGTAGAAGTGGGGCGCACCTGGCACCCAGCTTTTGAGCGGTCTGTGGATGAGGCGTCCAGTCCCCAGTGGGGTGGTCGCCCGCGGAGTGACATTTGGTGTGCACTGAGGAGGGGGAGCCCCGGTGAGGGTGGATTGCTTCCTGGAGAGCAGGGCTGTGGCCACCGACGGGCCCTGCAGGTGCCCCGGGGGGTCCCTCGATTTCTGTTAGTCCCTGAGGCTGGCAGGGTTAAGCTCTTGTCCCCACGTGGGTCACAGAGCCGCCCCTCAGCCGCTTCCCGTGCCCCACGTCTCACCCTGGTAGGGCCTGCCCACGTGCCCTGGAGCAGGCCTGCTCCCAAGAGCCCTGGACGCCATGCGGGAGGATGGGCCAGGGCTCTGTGCAGAGTGGAGAGGCTTTTCCTAACGTGGGTCCTGAGAAATCGGTGCCACGAGAGTGGGATGACACAGATGCAGGTTTGAAGGGCTGGCACCAGGGCCAGGGTAGGACCAAAAGGGGTTTGATTCTGAGGACTGCAAATCAGCTGTGCAGGTGTGAAGGGAAGCGCCTGCCGTGCATGATCTTGTCTCCAGTCTGCAGCCTGGATGTGCTGTATTCATGACTGTCTTTGACGAATAGGAATTCAAGTTATTCCCCATTGATTTTAACCAGTGAGTTCGGGCTTTGCACTTCGAGAGGCCCTCAGGCTTTTGAATGGCTCTGCCAGTTGCTGCACTATAAAATATTCTTGGGATTTTGAAACTGCTGCTGTGTTCACTTTGGAGGTATGAGTGAGCGTTTGTCGATGTCTCCAAAATTTTGTGTTCCAGAAAGTGCTTCTGTTAATTATGTTACCTTGCAATATTCATTTGATTGTAGTGTACTTGGGGGTAAGTGTGTGATACCCGGAAACTGAAACAAAGATACAGTACTGGCATGAGGGGGGTGTTTATCTGGCTCACAGTTCGGAGAGGTTTCAGGCCACAACTGCTGCTACAAGGCCGGTGGCAGAGGCCAGCAGGTCGTGCGGGGAGACAGCAAGCACTGTCTTTGCGACCCGTTGTCTTACTCAGACTGCCTGGGATTGGGTGGTTATCACCAACACTATCAGTGAGAGTTGGTAAAAGGGAAGTGAGGCGGATCCGCACTGTAGTTTTGTCAGAATGGAAGTGTTCAGATGGTCACTTGTTGGTTAGCGTCCCTCTGGTCCCCAGCACGGGGCCTGGTGCTTTGGAGCCGGGCCCTACCGCTGAGTGCGCCTCTGGGACTCCCCCGCTATTTCTTTCCACTCATTTACTAGAGCAGCGGGGCTCAGACTGTTTTGTTTCAGGACCCCTCAAACTCCTGACTGCCCCTAGCACCTGTATCTGTGCGATGCCTCTGGGTCCTAGTGTCGTCTCAGAGGTCGGCATGTGTGTCCACCCATCCTGCAGTCCCGAGCCAGGGAGAGAGTGTCTGGGAACAGCGCTGGCTCTGGGGCCTTGGGCCTCTTGACTGCCAGGCTGGCCCTGTGCGGCTGAGCTACATCCCTGGCCCGAGGACCCAGGTAGGGTTGAATGGAGGCGCGGCTGCTTCACCAGGCGGCTAGGCTGGTCCGAGGCCTCCCCTGTGGTCCTGGCTCACAGCGGGCTGAGCTCCCTGTGGAGCCTGTGTCCAGCAGGTTCCCTGAGTCCCCGTCGTCCTTCTGCCTCGAAGGTGGGCGCAACGTCTGGTGGCTGGAAGAGCTTAGGACAGAATGTCTTCTGTAAGTCACCGTGTCAGCAGCGGTGTTGCCCGCGTATGTGTCCTGTAGCAACATCTTACTTAATGTCCTGGACGCAGCTCTGCCCGCCCTGCGTGGTGGCTGGTGCCCCGTTGCCCTGTTCTCAGCTCAGGGGTCCTAGGGCTGTCAGGTTGTTTGTTTTCATACAGCTGCTTCTAGGCAGAATTTAATAGGTGAGCAAAGCCTGCACTCTGTGCTTTGGCTGCACGGAGCCGGCTAGTGAAGGCGGCGTCTTTGCAGTTCCCTTCCTGAAACCGAGGCTCGAGGTTAGAGACGTCTCGGTGAGGTGAGGAGGTCGTTCTCAGGGTCTGCCTTGGGAGTGCTCGTGTGCTTTCTAAGGACTTCTGCGTACCGTGCTCACAGACTGCACACTCACCTTTCCCTCTGCCTTGTCCCCAGGTTCCCTGTGAGCCACCCCGCCGGTGCATCACAGCCTCCAGGAACCCTCCGCCCGCCCGCCCCGGACTCCAGCAGCGGGGCCCCCGATGGCAGTGGACACCTCCCACTGAAGCCTGCCAAGCTGGACTCCACAGCTCCGCACGACGACACTTCGGCCAGCTCCGTGCCCGCTTCGGAGGCGTGTGACCATGCAGTCCTAGCCTGCAGCCCGGGCATCCCTGAGGAACTCTACGTGAGCGAGGCTGTGGAAGATGCGGCCGGCTGCAGAGGGTACCGGGATGCCTGCACCATCACTGGTACGGGGCCGGAGGGGAGCACTCCAGGAGCGCGGCCTGGGGGACCCGGGGACCTGAGCGCGGGGGAGCCTGGGCTGGCAGCTTCTCGCCCAGTGGCTGCCTCGCCAGTGACTGTTGTGCGGCCATGGCAGCGCTGATTCCCAGGAGTGGGCAGTGTGCTCCTCGACCCTGCGCTGGGGCCTGCGTGGACAGAGCCAGGGAAGTGGCGCAGGGCACATCAAGGGGTGTGACAGGGCTGGCCAGATGTCGGCTCACGGGGTCCCTGGCAGTCACCCCTGCAGGGCCTGGGTGTGGCGTCTCTGCTGTCCCTCCCAGGGCGCGAAGCAGTCCCTGGAGTTCCGCGGCGCGGGCTGGGAGCGGAGCCGTGCGGGACTTGTGTGTCACAGCGGCGAGCACAGCCCCAGTCCTTGCGCCGCTTTTCATTTTGTCTTCAGCTGTTGTTGGTGGCCTCCTGCTTGACATAATGCCAGCAGCTTCTCATTGGTCTGGGTCAGGGCCAAGTGTTGAGGTTTCCTGGCCACACGGGGCTGGGGACCGGGGTCCCAGCCTGGGCCTCCACCTGGGCCGGGCCTTGCACACGTCTCTGACCCGACATGGGCCACACGCTGCTCTCCACTGCTGTGCCACGCCCGCGCCCTGCGGTGACCTCGGACAGGGATCCAGGACCCTCCTCAGCGTGCCTGGGAGCCCGACCTCAGCAGGAAGCTCGCTGTGGCCTCTCCCTCCTCACACGGCGCCTCCTCAGCCCCATCCCTGCAGGCCTGTGCCTCTCCTCACTTGCTTTCTCTGCTCTGCTTCTCTCCGGGGCCGCTGTGGGTGACCTGGCCCCACCACAGAGACCCAGCTCATGCGGGCATCCGTCCTGCCTGTGGCCCAAAGCCCTGGAGCCACTGCCCTCCTGGCGCTGACCCCGTGCCCTTGGAGGCTCCCAAAGCCTCTCCAAAGCCTGGTAGTGGCGGAGGACTCGGGGCCCTGCCTTCCAGCTGCGACCCCCGCGAGCCTGTGCCCTCGTCTTCTCCCCACAGGCCGGGGACACCCGTGCGTCCACATGGGCGCTGGCGGGCATCTTGGGCTGTGCAGCCTGTGCCGTGGACCCCTGGTTTTCTGCAGCTGCCTTCCCCTCTTAGGTCTCCCCTCTGTAAACAGCGCTTGCTGTTGTTCTTGGAGGCATCTGCAGCATCCGTTCCTCCTCTGCACCCCAGTTTGGGGCAGCCCATCAGCCCCGTGGTCCTCAGAGCACACCTGGAATTCGGGTGCTGCTCACAGCTCCACAGCAGCCACCTGGTCCAGGCCACGTTGGCCCCAGGCCGGATGTGGCAGGGCCTCCTCACTCAGGCAGTCTGTGCTCACCCAGCCCTGTGAGCTGGGTTTGGAAGGCAAAGCCAGGGTTTTCCTCTCCTTCTGCCTGCAGGGCCCTGCCTGTGGCCTCTGTGGACCTGTGTCCCCTTGCCCTTCTGAGTGTTGCCTCGTGGCCGCTCACTGCAGCAGTGCTGCCACCCCTGCTAATCCTCCAATACCCGAGCACTGGCTCCAGCCTCCGGCCTGCTGCTGGGCACGCCTGCATGGCCTCACCCCGGGTGCCTGGAGACCCTGCTTCCCATCTCCAGGTGCCACTTGGGACCCAACGTGAGGCAGGGTCCCCTTGCCCTTCCTCAGCCCCTTCCTGCCTCTCCATCCTCGGAGCAGCCCTGTGTTGTACTTTCTCTGCTGGACGTGCAGAGTGTGCAGTCCTCCAGGGCAGGGGCGGTGTGGCCTCCTGTGTCCCTGACATCCTGTGCTAAGACAGCCCTGCCTGTGGCCTGTGCTCAGGGGATGTTTGTTGAGTGACCGTGTCATGCCGTAGTACTGTGGCCTCTCCAGGGAATGGGCTAAATCGCAGGGGTTCAGGACTGTGACTGAAATCGCTGGGCACTAAGTGGTGGAGCTGGTCCCAGGCCTGCGGGAACCCAGGTTCTCTGCTGCCCTGGAAAGCGTCTGGCTGGAGAGGTGGGTGGACCATGAGAGGCGCAGTCCAGGGAAGGCCAGGAAGGGGGTGCACGGCCAAGTCCCGGGGAAGGGGCGGGTGGGCAGGCCCCTGGTGCTGGGGATCACAGCTGTGCCTCCCCCGTCCAAGCGTGTGCCTCGTGCTTCCAGTCACAGTCACGACTGGCTGGTGCCATCCAGTTAAACCGGTTTCCTCACTCTGAACGCACAGGCGGAGGCCAGGGGCATGGCTGGCCCTTCGGCCAGGACGAGGCGTCAGCGGGGGGCGAGGGAGCACAGGCACAGGCCCCCTCCAGGCTGAGGTGCTGTGGCCAGCTGTGCAGTGGGGGACGGTGGCCCTGCAGAGAGGAGCGACATGAAAGTGCCTGTGTCCTCCGAGTGCCTGCCGCCCCAGGAATGTGTGTGGGCCCGAGGGCTCTGACAGTGCAGTCCCAGGACAGCGCTGGCACCCAGCCTCCAAGATGCCCCCACTGCCCAGCGAGCCCGGGGCAGCAGCAGACGTCTGTCCACCGGACTCCCAGGCAGAGCCGAGCAAGCCGGCCCGCACCCAGCGGGAGGTATCGTGTTCTGGGTGCGTGGCTTGTGTTTGGGGTGGCAGGGTGAGATGAGCCGATTGGGCACCTGGCTGCCAGGTGACGTAACACACTGTGCTTCCTGGGCAGCTCCGGAGCCTCAGATGTGCCCCGACAGGCAGCTCAGAGAGTGCCGGGAGGGCTCGGAGAGTGTCTGTGCCAGGCTGAGCGCCCGCAGGAGGTCTTCTCCCGCTGAGCTGCCGTGGAGTTTGCGCCTGCACATGGCACTGGTCTGCCAGCTGGGGCAGCCTGCGGGGGCCCGGCTTGGGTCCCACCTGTGCCAAGGCGAGCACCTTCGGACCAGCCCATGCGGTAAGTGAGGCTGCCGGGATCCCCTTTGTTTTCTCTCTGACCTGGCTGGAAAGGGAACCGAGGAGAGGTTGTGTCTTTCCTGCTCAGTGGTGTGTGGTAGTCTGTCTGTGGCCCTGGCAGGAAATCGCTGTGCTGGCGATGGACAAGGGTGGGGTTCAGAGGCCACCAGCGACACCAAGGGCCTGAAGGCCCCTCCCCCTTCCCAGGCCTGGCAGTGGCCCAGTAGGGCTCCAAGGCCCCCCTCTCTGACTGCTGTTCGTCTAACGTTATGTCTGCCCTGGGTTCTCGGAGCCTTGGCCAGTATGTGTCAGAGAGGGCTTTCCAGGTGTGAAGAACAGGGCCAGACAGAGCCCCCTCCCTTCCTCACTGTCTTGTTTCTCCTTACCTGGCGTGGGCCCTGGGGCTCCAGTCCATACCTGCGGTGAGAGCTTGCTAGGGGTGCCTGCTCAGGCCTGTCACTCCACCTCACCAAGGCAGCGGAGTCTGACGGTGGGGTGACCCATTGGGTTTCTGTCCTGCCTGCTGTCTGGGCCACAAACCAGTGAGTTCCCTAAGGGTTCCAGGTGCACAAATCTCACAAGCCCAGGACACCAGCAGTGCATGCACCTCACTGCACGTGTGCAGAGCTGGGCCTGCTCTTCAGCCTGGAGCCCTGGGGAAGCCCGAGGAAGCCAGGGCTGACGTTGAATCCTTGCAGAAGCACAGGGGCGCTCCCCTGCGCCTCTTAAATGTGCCACTGGCTGGTCTTCCCTCTCTTCTGTCCCTCGTCAGGGGAGTGGGTCAAGTGTTTTCCCCAGGACTTGTGATGTAAATTGTGAAATGCAGTTGCCGTGCTAGCGGACTCTGGACAGGTGATTTGCATTCTTGGTGCTGGTTGTATTTTTATCCTAGTTATGCATTTGAATCAAGTACGAGGTACAGGCATCCTTTTAGAGTGCAGTCTTGGCCCCTGTGGCCGTCCTGGAGGGACGCGGTCAGTTTGGGTGGGGAGAAAGCAGGTGCCAGTGTAGCAGTCCCTGCCCTTGGGTCCCGGATGTGCAGCATGGGTGTGTGTGTCTGTGTGTGTGTGTGTGTGTGGTACAGCACAGTGTCTCTGCATCATCTCCATCGACAGAGGAGGAAACCGAGGCGCAGAGCGCTCAGCTGCCTGGCAGTGCCACACCGGCCAGCGGGGGAGCCAGGGGTCAGGTCTGGGCTGTCTGCCTCCGTCAGCTTTCTGTTCCATCCCTGTTTCTAGCATCCTGTGGGCTTCGGGACTGTGCGCACAGTGAGAAAAAGGAGGCTCCTCCCACACAGTGACCCCCTTCCCCTGGGGCCTGCTGTCCCCACTGCGTGTCCCTTGGCCCATGTCTGCCGGTGGAGGCCACTGCAGCTCACTAGCTGTTCCCTGCTCCCCCAGGGTGAGCACTCTGCCCCGTCCCAGCTTGTACTTCGGGTCTGAGTCACCAGGGGCCTGGGCAGAGGAGGCGCGTCCCTCACGTGTCTCTCTGCAGCTGTTCTCTGCACGCGTGTGCAGTGCATCCCCGTCCCCACGGGGACCTGTGGCAGACACTCGCCCTTTCCACTCGGGAACCTGTAGCGGAGACCTTCCCTTCAGTGTCCACCCATCACATTCTTCCTTCCCTTTCCTTTGGCTTTTGCAGCACTGTGGATTGAACCCAGGGCCTTCACACTGAGCTGCATCCCAGCCACTTTTTTATTGGAAGAGAGTGGCTTGAACTTGCTACCCTCCTGCCTCAGCCTCGTTGGGGTCTATTATTCGTTGCTTCCAAGAGCCACAGTTGATTTGACTCCTACGGTTAGTAAGGAGACTGCTTCCAGTATCCTGCAGGTATATCCAGGGCTGGGGATGTCCAGGTTTCCCCACAGCCAACCTGGGGTGAAGGAGCGGGTGAGACCTGGAGGCTGAGGACTTGCGTGTCGGTGGACGTGGTTCAAGGTTGTGTTTTGTGTGTTCGTGTGCTATTCAGACAGCACAGGAGAGTGTGTGGGCCCATGCGGTCTGCGCCCCAGGGATTAGCGGGTGCTTTGTTCTTTGCCGGCTGCAGGTGTGTAAGGTGGCGGCATGTGTTCCCCTCTGCACCTGGAGGTTAAACATCTGTCCCTGTTACAGTTGTTTGATTTTTTGTGGTG